GAAACTATGTTGACATGATTTGGCTTACATGTTAAAAGAATAACTGTTTATGCTATGTGAAAAAAATTTATATTGGGAAGGGGCACGATTGAAATATGGGACCTGATAAGAGTCTATTGCAACAATCTAGGTGAGAGATGGTGGGAGCTTTGGCCAGAATAATATTTGAAAGTTCACAAGAATAGGTCAGATTGAGGATGTATTTTGAGATGAGAGATTATAGGATTTGCTGATAACATGAATATGGAGTACATGGAAAATAAAGGAGTCAAGAATGATTCTAAGGTTTTGGTTTGATCAATTGAGTTGCCATTTTCTGAAAGAGGTTGGAGCAGGTTTGGAGTTGTGATGGTGGTGGAGAGTTAGGAGTTCATTTTTGGAACTGTCAAATTTGAGATAACTTAGATATCCAAGTGAAGATATGAGTAGTGAGTTAGATGCCTGTAGTTCAGAGGAGAGGGCCAGGCTGGAGATATAAATTAGAAATATTGGATGTAGGTGGTATATAAGCCATGGATTAGATGAAATCAACTGGAGAGTGTGTATGGATAGAGAAGAACAGAGTCCAGAGGGTTAGGGCTAGTCCAACACTGTGCCACTAACACGAGAAGCAATTTATTACGTTTTTGAGAAAAGACAGAATGTAAGAGATACTATGAGTGTTCACCCACTGTCAGAGTGGTCCAGTTTCTGTCTGTGTGGCCGCATGGACTCCTACACACCCTTTTCCTGTGTCTGCTGTGTGGCTGTACTGGGATCAGCATCTCAGTGGAATGATAACAGTGAGCTGTGGTGAATGATATTATAGTATTACTCTGATGATCACAAGGTATTAAGATTTTGTGTTGGTTGGATAAGTTGTAAACTCATGGGTAACCTCCCATGCCTTTGGTGTGTGGTAGGGTATTTTGGAAGAGTTGTGGTGTTCAAGATCTGATGCTACTTTCTGACATGTATTGTGGATCCTTACTTGTCCTGTCATTAGTTGGCCCAGAAGCAAGACTGTGGCACATAGAAGTAATATTGATTAAGCCTGACCCTTGGCCAGGTAGTAACGTAAGCTCAGCCCAGTCTTCTTATTATAGTGCCTCAACCTTTCACCACAGCACTCTTCTCCTTCATCATCTTTACCTGCGTCCAGAGACTTTCAGGGCAGTCTTTACTTATAGTCCTTCATGGACACATTTATGAAAGGCCTGCTTTATCCAGGATACCTTAAAGATATTTATTTTCATTTGATTGAATCATCACAGCAACATTATGATGTAGATTTTTTTTATTCCTACCATTCCCAGTTTACAGATGAGAAAACTGAGGCTCAGGTAGATCACGCAGATGGTAAATGGCAAAACCGAGAACCAAACACATGCCTGCTGGACTCCCAAGGCCATGTTCTTCCTGCTTTACACACTAATGACATATCTAATGCATGAAGCATAAACACATAACAGAACTTCTCATGGTTGCTGGTGAGGACTAAGCAGGTTTTCCCAGGAAAAAAATGCAGGTGGGGCTGATAAAAAAACCCACAAAAACAGCTGGATTTCTTTATAGAAACATCTTTGCAAAAGGGTGAGTGGCCATGAAAGCAGACAAAGGCTTCCGTTGTGACTGTCTTCACATGCCAACTAGGTTGGCTGAATTTACTTTGGAGGAAAGAGGTAAACAGTGTACATTTTCATCCATATCGCCAAAGCCAGCACCTCTGATTGAATGTTTTACTTTCTGGGTGGTTGTTTATGCATTGTGAAGTCATGGCATTTATGTCTCAGTGTTGGTGGAGGGTGGTGGAAAGGGACAAGATCAAAGAAATCTAAGCGCTTCAGGCAACGCTATGCCACAAACCAATCAGTTTGCATTTACAGTGTACATCTGAGCTTCCCCTTTTTTCCCTCCCATTGAAATGTGACCTTGGCCTCTGTCTCTGAACCAGCCAGCCTTTGAACAGATGTAGTTTTATGGTTTAGGTTGGAAACTCCAGATACAAAAGCTTACACAAATTTTAAGAAGGAGCTGAGATAACTGTGAAAGAAAGCGCTTGCTGGAGGAGTCACAAAGCCAGGAACAAATCTCCAGGCCATGTAATCACAAGGGGTTTATGCAAACCTCTTAAAGGAGGTTTCTCCAAATATACATCCCATTTCCCCTTTAGAAAGGGCTGTTCCTTTCCAATGAGTCAGTGTTTAACAGAGCTTGGCAAAGTATGAGCCTGTTGGCTGGAAGAAGATGCGGTTTTAAAACTCGACCTATTCTTTAGAGAAGAAAATAACCCTTAAGCTGCATTAACATGGCCCACCAGGAGCAGCAGGCAAGGGGATTCTGTTATTCTGTTAGCAAGGCGTCCTCTGGGCTGGCATTTCCATTCCAGGCTGCAGCAGCCCCTGCTCGCCTGTACCTGCCTTGTTATCTACCTCCTGCAGACTAGACTTGCCTTTGTGTGTGCCATCTCTGAGCGTGTATTTGTGAGCAAGGCTCAGCTTTCTGGGCTTTAATTTTGAATGAGATGGAAAACACACTCAGCACAGCCACTGCCTCCTGTGTCTAAGTCTTGGGGCAAAGTTCATTTCATCTTCCTATCGCGTGAGAAAAATGGAACCGCATTGGACACAGACATGGTAGGATTATGCTGTAATGTGCTATTTTTAAGGACTGATCTATTGGCCTTTTTGGGTAGTATAGTACTGTTTTCTTAGTATTTTTATGAATCTGAAATCGGAATCATTTACATCTTGAGATCAAGATCAAAGATACAACTTTTCAACGCATGTGGAAAGACAGATTGCTGGGTAGTCCCCCAGCCTGGTCAGGGCTGTGGGTCTCACATTCTCAGTAAGCCCCCAGTTCACAGAGCTTCTATTGCTAGAATAATTCTTCTCTGCTCTCCTGAAGGAGTGGAATGTGACCTGAAAGCGATGCAGGTAATTCTTCCCTTTCTGGGATCTCCATCTGTAGATGATAACACTAAATGAAACAGAGATGAATCAGAAATGGCTTATTTGAAAGCAATATTATAGCTCTCAATAAAAACCTTGTGGTATCTGCCTCTCCCTCCCCCCAAAAATGTTTGTTTGAAAAAGATCTCCGAAGTTACCAAACAAGAGATGGGATTGAGTGGAGTCAGATGAAAATATCTGGAATTTATTTTATGGCAGTTTCATTATTCTCTTCCTTCTCTCCCTCGTTACTTATCCTTCTCTTGTCTTTTTTTTTTTTTTTTCTGTCTTGACACTCACACTTCACTCCTTTCCCCTCTTGGCTCCAGTTGTCCCCCACAAATAAGTGACTGGACCCTCCTAGCAGAGGCTAGCTGCTGGGGTTCTAGGAGAGACCAAAGTCCCAGGGAGGAGAGGTGTGGGGGGAAGAGACAGTTGGAACAGGGCAGCTGGCTGCTGGCGCTCACTCTGGAGCAGGGGTCCCCAACCCCCAGGCTGCAGACCGCTATGTGTCTGCTGCCTGTTAGGACCTGGGTTGCGCAGCAGGAGGTGGGTGGCGGGCGAGAGAGTGAAACTTCATCTGCCGCTCCCCATTGCTCCCCAACACTCTCATTACTGCCTGACCCATCACTTGCTTTACTGCTTGAACCATCCCCCCATGACCCCCATCCGTGGAAAAATTGTCTTCCACGAAACCAGTCCCTGGTACCAAAAAGGTTGGGGACCGCCACCCTAGAGGTCTTCTCCACAGTCAGTCCAGCAGAGCCAGGGGGCACCCCAGTTCTGTTCATTGCCCCTGGCTGCTTGGCCAAGAACAGTGTGTGTGGTTCCAGGGACGGGGACAACACCAGCCAGAGGATGAAGCTGTGGGGTTGGTGGGCACTGGGGGGACCAGAGCACGCAGACGACTAAAACAGCAGTTCTGTGCCATCTTCGTGATGGACTTGTGCCTTTCCCAGCTGCTGTGTCCAAAGTTGTAACTCGGTGGCTCATGCTATGTTCATAAAGTTTTGAAACCATTGCAGAGTTTTAATCAGAAAAAGCTGATGTTGTATAACTCTCTGTGTGAGGGATAAGAAAATTGTAATTGCTGAGTTTGATTTCTACACATAAGCAATAAAAAACCTTCATGTTTTTGTTCATTCTCGGCTTGTTGGAGACTGACCTGTTACCAGGAAGGAAGAAAACCATGGCATCAACAGTGTATCTGTTGAGTACTTTAGATGCTCAACAAAGATTTGATGATAGTTCGTGTTCCATGGAAATGTGTTCTGTATTATTTAGTTCATTATAAAATCCTAGTAATCCTGGGGCTCAGTCCCTCTAGAGTCTTCTAGATGGCTGAAATGGACCTGGGGATGACTCTATGTTAGAGCTCACTGATTATGACAATGGAAGGGACCTCTGACACCACCCTGCCCAGAAGATGTGAAGTGACTTGCCCAGTGACCCCCAGTGAATCTTTGGTAGAGAAAGGAATGGTTGCTTGCTTTACTGGGCAAACCCTCCCAGATAACATTTGCACAAAGCTGGAGGGTGGGAACAGCATTGAGAATTTCAGCAACACTGAGAGCCAATGCAAGGAGCCATCTGACCTCAGTTTCCTCTTAATTATCCCCCAATTACTGCCTCGGTTGTATCCTTTCTTGTTTCCATATCCCTTACTGCTGTCACCTCTCTGGCTCTATGGGGCAGAGGTAGGAGGGTCTCTCCACTTCAGATGCTTGGGCCCAGGTATGGCTACATGTCCTTCTCCTTGTGTCCTTAGCAAAGCTGAGAGAACTCTGGGGGTGGCGGCTTGAATGAGATTTTACTAAAGGTGGACACGTGGGGACACAACTGCCTCTTTCCTGATAGACTGACATCATCAGAGGAGTCAGGCTTAATGACTGCAGGCTAATCCCCCAGCTCACAACGACTTGGTGGGACATTCAAGGCAGAGACGTAAACTTACAGCAGCTGTGAGGGTAGGCTGGCTGGGCTTTTTTTTTTTTTAAAAAAAGAGACAATCAGATTTCTCCTCCTCAGGTGGATCTTCCATCCTGATGCTGTGTCCATTTCCTGCAGATTTCTCTCCCTTTACACAAGAGGGCGCTGGAGCCCAAGGTACTGCACTCTTGGCTTGGAGAAGAGGATCGAGGGAAAGGCGGAAAAGCCGTCTGGCTGTGTTCCAGTTGATGGCACTAGCTCTGCCAGCTGGAGGTTCAGGTATTGTGTGTGTACCCCGAGATGCAGTGACTCGTAGCGCTGGGAGGGAGGATGTAAACCTCACCCAGGCATCCAGGAGCAAGGGGTTCTGGGCATACCTCTGAGAGAGGCATTGCCTAGCTTGGAGGGTATCCTGCAGAAAGTGACTATGTGAACCAGGCTTGGGACCTTTTAGTTCAGAGAAAAGAAGATTGATGGTTGGGTGGGGGTCGGGGGGATGGGAACTGCCTCTGCAGTCCTAAAAAACTTTTTTTAAAAACATCTTTATTGGAGTGTAATTGCTTTACAATGTTGTGTTAGTTTCTGCTATATAACAAAGTGAATCAGCTATATGCATACGTATATCCCTGTATCTTCTCCCTCTTGTGTCTGCTTCCCACCCTCCCTATCTCACCCCTCTAGGTGGTCACAAAGCACCGAGCTGATCTCCCTGTGCTGTGCGGCTGCTTCCCACTAGCTATTTTACATTTGGTAGTGTATATATGTCCATGTCACTCTTTCACTTCGTCCCAGCTTACCCTTCCCCCTCCCCGTGTCCTCAAGTCCATCCTCTACGTCTGCGTCTTTATTCCTGTCCTGCCCCTAGGTTCATCAGACCCATTTTTTTTAGATTCCATATATATGTGTTAGCATATGGTATTTGTTTTTCTCTTTCTGACTTACTTCACTCTGTATGACAGATTCTAGGTCCATCCACCTCACTACAAATAACTCAATTTCATTTCTTTTTATGGCTGAGTAATATTCCATTGTATATATGTGCCACATCTTCTTTATCCATTCATCTGATGATGGACACTTAGGTTGCTTCCATGTCCTGGCTTTTGTAAATAGAGCTGCCATGAACACTGTGGTACATGACTCTTTCTGAATTATGGTTTTCTCAGGGTATATGTCCAGTAGTGGGATTGCTGGGTCATAGGGTAGTTCTATTTTTAGTCCTAAAAAGCTTTTGTTTGGAAGAGAGACTAGGCTTATTTTATGTGGCTCTGGTTGCAGAACGGGGACCTATGAATAATCTTTATCAAGAAAGAGATTTCAGCTCAACATATGAAGAATTTTGAACGTGTGGAAGGTAGTGTGGTTTAAGCAGGAAGGGCATGGGCTGTGGAGGAAGCCAGAGTTCACCTTCTGACCCGCCCTGACCAGCTCTATGACTCATCACCTGATCTCCCTTAACCTCAGTCCTTTTACCTGTAAAATGGGGAACATGTTGTCTACTTTATAGGCTGGTTGTGGAGAGTCAGTAATTTGAATAAAGTGCACAGCATCGTGCCTAGCATTTTTTGGGGGGGCTCAATTAAAAACATCATAGTAGCTAAGCTTGATTCCTTATTCTGTGGAAATCGCTGTGCCATCTCCCATCCATTGTCTCTAAGCCCCCAAACAACCCTATGAGGTAAACGTTCCTACTTGTATTTTACAAAAGAGGCAGGCGGGTTCGGACGGTGTAAGAGATTTGCCCAAGGTCTCAAGCCTGTGAACTTTTGCGACGCTGAAATCCTAAGCCGGGTCTGTCTGTCTGCAGAGCTGTGCTCCTGCCAGGACACCATGCTGCCTGCCTGTGTCAATGTGGTGTCTTCACCCCGAGGGCCCCTGGGTCTGGGAGCTGTTGGCGGGTTTATGTATCACACACAATGATGCAGGGGCACATATGTTGTTCTGGCAAAGGCAATGCGCCTTTTCCAGTGTCAGTTGAAGCAGCGGATGAATAATACAGGGAGAGGGACCCACAGAAGGGGCAAGAGGAGGCCAGAGTCGCATCAACTCCCCTGCCTCTAACAGGGGCAGCAGAAGGTGCAGCTGGCGGGGCCCCATCATCCCGCCCCTGGGTTTTGCACAGCTTTCCTTCTCCATTCTTTCCCATTTTTGACACTTGTGATTATTACCAATCCTGGTGGCGCTGACGCACGGGAGTGCAATGGTTACCATGGCATGCTTAATAGCGAGAGCAGATGTTTGGCAGGCTAACTCCATGCATTCTAAATACACAAGGCAAAAGGCGGTGGAGGGAGTAATTGATTTGCTGACTGCGATGGGAAGCCAGCCCGTGCCGCGCTGGGCCCAGGCACCTTCCCACGTCCTCTCTCTTACACAGCATGCGGCCTCGTCAAGAGCTGACCCCTCTGGCCTCACGTGTTACCAATTCCCACCTGCTCACCCCTCTCCTGCTCAACACCTGTAGCCTCCCAAATAAGCTATGGTCTGTCTCCTGTCTGGGTCTCACAAGCAGTTGCTTCCATCCAGAATCCCATCCCACGTTGCCCACATGTCCCTCAGTTCTGGGCTTGGCTCTCTAGCGTGCCCTCCTGAAGGCTGAGTTGGCAGGGTCACCCTGTGCCTACGCTTTCATAGAACTTACTGCTGGGCAGTAATTGCTTGTTTAATTGTTTATCTTCCCAGTAGAAGGCAAGGTTTTTGAGTGCAGGTACCATGATGTTTACAGGAATAATTTTGACTCTAATTTATATAAAAATCACATGAAGTGAAACTTCCATCCTTTACCATTAGTATCGCATTCCTTGCAAAAACACCTCACAACTGGTCATGACAGCAAGTGCCCATGTCCTCTTTCTAAACAGGATTATTATTATCTGCATACGAAGTGCCTCTGAGCCTGTGTTTGCAGCATTGCCTCCATCTAGGAATCTGGTGTTTCCCTTATTCATCTCTACCTTTTCAAATCCTGTCCATCAATCAAGACAGCTTTCAACTGCCATGTAATCTTCTCTGATATACCCCTTTTCTAAGCAAATATGATTGCTTCTCAACCACGGACCCCTTCCGCATCACCCTACTTCCACTGCATACTTAACACCAGAACATACTGTTTGCATTTCTTTTGATACCCTCGACTTTCCAAGATGCAGCCAAGTGCAGTGGAGAGCCCAGACTTTGGCCTCAGGCCCAAGTTCATGTCCTGAGTCTGCCATTTACTTGTTATGTATAATTTTGGACATATTAAATGACCTCCCAGCTGCATTTGCCCATTTATTGGAATGGGTATAATCACACCCACTCCACTGGGGAGCCATGTGGATCGAATGAGATACTGAAGAGAAAATACGTAGCTCAGTACGTGGAAACAGTAAGAGCTCATTAAATGGCTGCTATTATTAAGTCACTGATTACATGTTTGCCTGACACTCCCAAGGAGACTGTGCCCTCGTTGAGGTCTGGTGCCATGAAACCTGCCACCTACAACTGGGTGAGTGGAGGAAACTTGCCCGCCCTGCTGAGCTCCACTTTCCTTGTCTGTAAATTGCGGTTACAAGACAATCTGGAGAGATAAATATTTGAGTTCCTGTTAAACTGTAAGCTCAAAAACAACCTGGGTCAACTTAAAAGAACCAGATGAGAGGAAACACAGGGAGCAAAGGCACATCCAACTTCTGCTTCACTTTGAAGATGCTGGGGTTGGTTTATAGTCAATTATTGCCTTGGTGACACACGTGGTTTGTATTCAACTCACCCACGAGTTCTGAACCAGGTAAAGGAAGAGTCAGAGAAGGGAGTGGTGTGTGTGGGGGGGTGGGGGGAGGGAAATGGAGGATAGAGAGAGGGTTTTCCAGAGACAGAACCACTGAGAATTTGTCTGGAGAAGAAAGAGATACTTTCGTTTGACTTTATTTTCCAATCATCACAACTAAGAGTAAAGAAACTACCAGCTCTGTGATTGTGACCAAGACCTTAAATTAGTAAAGAAATCTTTTACCTAGTGGTTTGATGTAGGGCGTTGACAAAAGTGAATGTTAGTGAATGTCACTGAGCTGATCCCCAGCTGGGTGGTAGGATTGAGAGGTCCCTGCCATTTCAGTTACACCAAAGTGTTCGTAGCCTATTTTTCCCCATCTTAATGAAAATTCTGTGATTTTCAAAAACTCTATTTCAAAAGAACTATAGCTGTGGCTCATAGTTTTCAAATTATGAAGTGGATTTTTTTTATATCACGTTTTCAACAGTTGCAATTTCCACCTCCTTGGGAAAGTTACAGGAAACACATAATCCCTCCCCTCCAACCCAGTGCTCCCTTGATTCTATGCTTATGAACTGGAGCTCAGGTATTTTCTAGCATGGCTCTGGCTGGAGTTAGCTTGTTCCCACTCCCTCACTTCAGCTGCCATGTGAGAGCTGTGAAGGAAGTCTCTGGGTTATTGCCTCTCTATACTTCATAGACTGCTCTGGCCCCCCGGCATTGGGTGACAGCCACACACAGCCTTCAGGTCTGAAGAGCTGGATTCTAAATCTTGATTTGTCAGTAATTTGTAACACTGAGAATGTATTTTCTCCATTCTGGGCCTCAAGCTTCTCACCTGGAAAACACCAGGGTCGGACTCCATCATTTTCTGTGTCTATTCAGGAGATCATACGGTTTTTCTTCTTTAGTCTGTTGATAAAGTGAATTGTATTGATCGGTTTTTGATTGTTCAACCTTGCATTCCCAGGATAAACCTCACTTAGTACTTAACTTTTCACGTATTGTTGGATTTGATTGGCCAGTATTTTGTTAAGGAGTTTTGAGTCCATGCTCAAGAGGGAGATTGATCTGCTGATATCTTTGCTTGTAATGTCTTTGGTTTTGGTATCTGAGCATCCCAACTGAATTGGATAATGTTCCCTCCTCTTCCATATTCTGGGAGAGTTCGTGTGGATATTATTTCTCCCTTAAATGTTTGGTCAAATTTTCCAGTAGACTCCATCGTTTTGAAGGTTTTTCATATTCTAGGCAGCTCCCAGATAACTGAGGGTCTTTCCTGGGGAAGGTTTGAAGGGGTGTCCCACCTCAGGCCTGTTAGAGGAATAGGGGAAACACTTTCTCCAAACCACACATGGAGGGTTCCTCTTCCATGGTTACTTTTGGTGCTGTGTCACCAACTTGCAGACCAATTTTCCCAGAATGATTTGGAGCCTCTGGGAGACAGCATGGATAGTGGAAAAAGCTCAAATCCTTGGCTCTAGCTCTTAGCGGTCACGTAGCCTTCCACCCACATTCCTAAAAT